AAGAGTGAAAACTCTCAGCAATATAAACAGTGATAATTTAACGTTGTAAATTAAATTATGAGCTATTCTAACGCTTATAAAAAGCAATAAACTCATTACGCTGCATTAACTTCCCTTCTGTCGAAATCTCGGAAATCTGGTGGTTGCGTAGTATCGTATTCCTCAACCGCGCCCGAGGCCGTACATCTGCGCGCTTTTCAAAAAGAAAGCTTCGAAAGGAACCTGAATATCTTTCCACCGGTAAGTTCGTGAATTGTTGAAGTTCACGAAACTGCTCTGATGATGTAACCGTGTTTGGGACCCAGAGTGTCTGCCTGCATGATCCGCCGCTTGCGGCAGCCAGAATGAATGGGAAAATGGCGGACCTTTTCCTCTAGAGTTAGTATGTATGATCTCTATGGGAAAAAGTAAAGAAAGAAAAAAGGCTTAGCTCCTATGGAAGCGCAGCGAAGCCACTGGTCTTCAAACAATACGGCGCCGCTTCGCACGGGAGAGAAGAGATGGCGCAAGCGGTCGCGATAAAGGGCTCTGGCGATACGGGCGATAGCAACTGCGCCAACGACCGAGCATAGGCGCCGAGAGCCGGCGTCTTTAGCAGACAATACTTTCGACTCAAAAGTGGCGCGAGCTTTTCTGATATTAGTTGCCAATGGATTTTATCATCCTTACTAATAGAAGATATTGAATGGACAGATAATCGATTAAAAAAATGGCTTGTCGGGATATTTTAACTGTTTTTTTTTTTTTTTTTCGGGGTACTGCTGTCGTCTGCTTTGCACTTCCTTGTTACCGCGCCTGTTTTTGTTTCTGCCACTGTCGCCGCCTGCAAAACACGCGCCGCTTTTGAGTCAAAACGATCGTCTGCTAAAGACGCCGGCTCTCGGCGCCGTATGCTCGTTCGTTGGCGGCAGTTGGTACTGGTGCCGTATCCAGTGATTTCGGCGGTCGGGGTCCATTTTCGCGCGACATCACGACCTTCTGACACTATGTGATATGTATCATGTCACTCGCGTAGTCTTACGACTCAGTTGCTTGAGTCAACGAGTTTTAATAGAACTGGAATTGGCGCCTTCTTGAACGAGGGAGAAGTGACACGATCTCGATGGTGCTTGCCACTAAGCACGGGCTACCGTCACACCTGCCATTTCTCCATTTCCTCCCTGAATCTCTTGCCATTGCCTCATCCCTGTGGAGGCAGGGGGTTTACTCGGGATTCTCAATCCGGGGGGTGCTGAAATATGTTTATTCGTTGTTCTTTGGTGAGGAGCCGAAGGAATTGATAGAGGTAAAATGGTGCATGCCATAAGTTTGTGTAATTTGCGTAGGACATTATGGGGTGGTTGTCGGACTCGACCTAAAGGTAGAGTGGGGGGCCAAAGTGAACGAAACGAGCCAGAACAGAGGGACATTTCACCGTGAGCCCCCAACAAATTTCATTCCATTGCCGTCTTAGATGACATCCGAGGGACTGGCATCAGGACAGCGACTGCTTTCTGCAAAGTTCCAAGCTTTTTACTGTGGAACATTCTTTGGCTAGTTGGTCCGGATTTCGTGAAGCCATGGCCTGCAACATCACAATGACGTCTCGTGGCCTAGTTAGTCACCAATACAGTTTCCTCGCTGATATTAGTGGGAAAATTGACATCACATGACCTACACACCAATTCAGTTTCGCCGGCTGAATTTGGCGGAGAAATTGACGTTGCGTGACAGATATGCCACTCTAGTTTCTCCACTGGTCTCTATGTCTATTTGCTGGATCGCGTTTCACCAGCTCCGCCTATGAACGGGAATGCAGCCACGGTCGGCCATTTTTTGGTAGAGTTATATTATCTCTAACCATCATAGTAATATGGCGGGCAATGGCGGCAGGCTGCCACAAAATAGCCGTAGATCTAGTACACTGTACCGTGGGTGATATTTCGTACTTGATTGAAGTTGTTCGACGAAGCAGATTCTTGAAATCCGGCTTGAACGGTAGCCTCATCTTTGAGGACCCGGCGAAGGTTGTACGAAAGCACAGCACCGGGGAAAAGCAGCACAGCTCGCATTGAAAGCAGACTCTGTACCGGTGTCTGCTTTCGATGCGTGTTGTGCTGCTTTTCCCCAGTACTGCGATTTCGTGAAACTTTCACCGGCTTCTCAAAGATCGGGATTGAAATTGTTTCGTCAAACAATTTCAATCAGGCACGAAATATCACCCACCCTATTTTGACGGCAGCCTGCCATCACACCTGCCAAAACGCTGTCAGCCATGGATGGATGATAGTGGCTGCAGCAGAGCCGTATATGTAGAGAGTTTGGTCAATGGGAGGCGTGGGCAGAGCCAGGGCGTGTGTCTGAATCGGAAAGAGGGCTTGGCATGCTCTCTTGACCAACCAGAAGCCGAAAAGAATCCCCTAGCGGTGGTAGCGAGAAACAGTTCTGATCGAAGGTCTATGTTCGTATATGGTTTTAATAAGCGCGTAAGAGTGAAGTGGAGTAACTCTTCGTGGTTGAAAATAGGGTGCACGTGTTGTTTTCATCATGATCATGCAGAAAGATGTAAGAAACGAATGCGCCGCTCAACTCTATTTTGCGCGGACAGAATGTGACCGCTCGGACGGCAAATTCCCGGCCCTCGGCGCTTAGCGTACTAATTATGTCGATCGTTCCGCTAGTCGCACTCTTCCACCATCATTTTGGATGAGCCTCATTGAAACATCACGTGTACCATATTTTCAGCCATCGAGAGTTACTTCAATGCAGTTATCAGGTTTGTTTCTCGCGACCACCGCCAGGGTATTATTTCCGGCTTCTGGTTGGTCACATTGAATTTCTGAAGACGCCCTAGAACACGCCCAGCCCGCTTTCAGCCAATGGTGCCTCCGCATTTGTCTCCTATACTTCCCAACGAATGGCCAAACTCTCTACATATACGGCTCTGGGCTGCAGGAGCTGTACCTTGGCTAGAGGTAATATAACTCTACCAAAAAAGATGGCCGCCAGTGGCCGCATTCGCAGAGCGGGCAAACGCAATCCAGCAATTGTCATAGAGATCAGTGAGTTTCTCCGCTAAATTTTGCGGAGAAATTGAAGCCATGCGACCTATACGCGTGTAAAACCACAGCTAAACAGTGGGAGAGTAGTAGCGCATTAATGCAGAAGCCAGCGAGCGCGTTGGCCTTTTCGCCTGAGTGGAAGCCCAATCTCGTTGGCGCGCGCATCGCAACTAGAGATACTGTAAGCTTTTTGCGAACCTGAGGTTCGAAGATCGAATCAAGGAGTTTAATAAAGGGTTCGCAAAGCTTTGAAATATCAAACTTATTAGATAAAAAATTAGATGATTTTCAAAGTTCCGAATTTTTTTTGTGCTCAGAATTTCGATTTTCTAACCTCCGACTACTTCTAACTACGAAATTCGACATTTTCAAACTTTCAAACCTGTTAGGTTGAAAATCTTGACTAACTTCAAACTTCTGAACAAAAGTATGACGAAGCTGAACCAAGTTCATCCCCATAGGTTCGGAGCTATTCAAATATAAGTAACGAGCCATCACCAACATGTGAAGTGCTGAAAATTGCACTTGGCTGATGGCGCCCCTAACGACTCACTCTAAGGGACTGAATGATAGGGGTGTCGCGAACCGGCCGAGGTTCGAGTTCGACCAGGTTCGACTTTTTCGAACCTTTAGTGGAAAATTCGCCGAACTTTGTATTGAGGTTCGACTCGAGTGCGCATGCGCGGCAGACTGGCCAGTTGGCTTTGAATTGGATGGTGATGGCTAAGGGGAGAATTAAGGGCAGCGCGGATTGGTTATTTCAGTTAATGCAGTACAAGAAGATTAAGTTATTAACTTCTTCAGTGATTAGAATTGGTTTCTTTTATTTTCAACTGTTCATAAAATAAAATAACAAAAATTCTCCAAACCTAGACATGCTTGTATCAAGGTCTGGCCACAGTGTCCACAAAGTCGAACCGGTCGAATCTGGGAAAAAGTTCCAAAGGTTCGTCGAACCGGTTCGACCCAGTCGAACCCCGAAAGCTCGACCTAAAAATCTGGTTCGACAAAAGTTCGCGACACCCCTACTGAATGATTGCTTCAGAATGGCCTCTGCCGAACGTTATTAGATTACCTCAGTTACGGAACTGCTCATAGACGCCGCATGCATGAACAGTACCCCCCTCACTCACCATGACTCGCCCAGCATCGCCCGACGCGCCACCAGACGGCTGCTTTGGTAACTGAATCAGGATATGTTTCAACGTACGTAAAAACCAACGGAAAAAAAATACTCTTTTTGTAGTAACTTTTATTGGAGTTTAGTACAATATGGGGGTGCGTGATGTTTTATAAAATCTTTAGTTTGCTAGGTTTTGCGGCGCAATAATATATTTTTCATACAACCATGCCTCAGCGGTGATTTCAGGCAGCGCGTCCCGACCTAGGCTCATCTTAACTTCTGTGGTATTTCGTGGCGCGTCCGCTGGGGAGACGGGGGTGGCATCCCTGTAACCTTTCCGCTGTAATATAGTTTGTTGTTGGGCGAGTTGGTGAACGTTTGGATACATGGTTTTGCGCAAAAAAGACGGACACAAGAGAGAAAACACAGACTCGTGTCTGTGTTTTCTCTCGTGTCCGTCCTTTTTGTGCAAAACCATGTATCCTTTCCGCTGTATCTGTTTCCGCTAAAGTGTCATTCGGTGAAACGTGGGCGTTTGCTAAAACGTCATTCGATCAAGTGAGTGCCTCCCGGCTACTCCCCTTTTGTCAGTGCAGCACAATGTCTTTGCATGCATTAACTCATGCCCTACCCAAACCTGCTAGAGGGCAGGAACTGGCCGGGGATATTGTCGAAAACCGCCACACCATGTGCTGCAGTGTGCACACCCACTTGGCAGTCAATTTTCCTGGCTATGAATGTACAGCGAGATGCCAGCAATGTGCAGAATGGGCTCTTTCTATAGAGCCACTCTGCTCGCGACACATTTACTTCGGCTGCACCGGAGAAAATAAATATTACCACTGCGAAAGCTTGAACTGTCAACCTTTATTTCAGAGAAACAGAAGTCTGATTAAACATTTATATTCTGCACATTTCATGTAAACAAAAGAAAAAAAAATGGGCCGATATTATTGTTGTTGCCACGCTGATTCTCGAAAAAATGCGCTAGCATTTCGCGCAGTGGTTATATATAAAAAAAAAGTATTGTGAATGCTGCCTCTCGGCACTTTTGTGGGGCAGAACATTCCCGAAATTCCTCTTCTCCCTGGTGCGAGCAGACACTTAACATATGCATAAAGGACCTGCGTGCCATGCGTAGAAATTGACAGAGCCATTTTGTTGTTTTGCATACATGTCCGTAGAGGCGCCTTACGGCCCGGCGACATGCTAAGACGGCTGCGCGTCTTGAATGGCATGGCGGGCCAACGAACGGAACTGCAGCCCGTGTGCTTACACGGGTCTCCAAAGCTTGCGGCAGGAGCTCCCGAGGGCGTTGGAAACACCTAGCAACCGAGGTGAGGTGGGGGACAGCGGGACTAGGGCGTATTTCAGCTGCTGGTGGGGCGCCGCGAGGCACCATGTATGGGCGGCCCAAGATGGGTTAATATTTTGTAACGAGCCATCCCCTGACAGTTGCCGCAGAGCGGCATGAACGGGGGGCCGGGGTGGGTTGACACGCGCCCCAGTGATCGACACGCGCCCCAGTGATCCACCCGCCGTCCCCCACTGCGTAGCACTGAAATCAACGAAAGGGGACTTCGCCGGCGATCTTCGGTCGCTAGGCGTTACGCGGAACCGCAGTACTGTTCCGTGGCGATGTTGCAAACTTTGGATACATGTTCTCCAACCAGTCCAACGTCGGCACATGTACCAGGGAATGATAGTGCATTAAAATACCACGATTCAAGATGTTTACAAATGATCACATGATGCAGAAATAAACACACTCTGGGCAACAAAAAATTCAAGGGTAACCAAAGCAAAATCGGTCGAGTTTGTATTCCTCGAGACTTGGCTGTTCTGACTCGCATCATTCTGTTAAAATTATACGAAAGGCATACCATATCGATTTAGAATACAGTATCCTACCGCAAGCGCCAAGTGGATACTATGTCCACTTCTTCGACAGAACCTTCCGAGAGCTGACTGCGCTTGAACCAGCTGCGTGGCAGCCTTTTCATGCCCTGCCGGAACCATTTTCTGGAAGTGTATCGCACCAGCACAAAATGGCGTCCTAGGGGTTTTATGGGCTCTGAAACAGGTTACAATTACTGGGGGCCCGGTTGGGCACAACTAAATGTTTAACGGGGCATTCGACGCGTCAGAACAATGGCGGAGCCCAGCCTCACGTGAATGCATGCAACACTGTGATCGACCAAGGCACTATCAGGATCAGCCATCTATACGACGCGTCCCACGACCCACAAGGTTTTTCATCGTGCATGTGTCCGGTCGAATCTGGCTTGAGTGGTTATCGCCTGAACGAGGCCATCAAGAAACCTTTGCGAGGATGCCATTTTGTGGTCATTGATTAGCTGGAAGTGGCTGTCCAAGTGAAGCTGCAATGCACTTCTAAAAAGTGGTTCCAGTGGGGCATGAAAAACCCGCCCCTTTGGTGATGAGAGTGCAGTCTGCTGTAGGAATAATCTGCCGAGGAGGTGGACCTATCTGTCGCCCTCTAACTGACCGGTAATTGCAGCAAAATAATAAATTGTGAATCAATATAGTACGCCCCTCGTAAGAGTTTCTGCCATCAAGGAAGGGTAGAGACAAACTACTACAGTGCATTATATAAGGAGTAAGCAATAGGCATTGTCTGGTGTACAGTCGCACTTACGATCTAAGACATTGTCACGCAAAGGCAGGCAACAGGGAAACAACTGTCAAAAACAAGAACACAAAGCAATAGAATATTGTGACCACCTGATTGGTATACAAAGTCATGTCTCGAGGCAGATGTCGTATAGATACGTGATAATGAATATGCCAGTGCAGGGAAGGAACGTGAAAACACTACGAGTGCGTTAGTTCCAATTATCAACACCTTTCGTCAATTCAGTCCTAAAGGGGCGTTACATAGTATCAAAGATAGGTACAATGTCAATTTACAGCAAAACCTGCTGAGCAGTGCAGGTATTCAACTAGCCATGCCCCAGTCGGCAGCAGAAAGCACTGCCAAGCACACACACACACACTTGGCAATTGGTCCCCCACCGAGGTAACTGCTAAAATGAAGTCTTGGCATGCTACGAGGCATCAAAATAAAAATCTTGAAACAAAGTTACTTCGCACTTACTTCAGTACTAAATTCTACAACAGATGAAAGATGTACAATAGCGTCGGAACTGAAATTTCCTACCTTTTATTTATCATTTTAATAGCAGAACTGAATTGTGGTAGCTCGTTTACTTTCTGCAAATTTGTACCTTCCACGTAACATAAAATACTGGAGGAGTGCCACCACACTGTCACAGAAAACTGGGTTAGCCTAGACATGGGCACTTGTCCGGCCAAATTGGGCGCTTAACGTATAATTTGTAGAGTTCCCAAGTTTGGGAAATGTTAATGGTGGGCACTTGAATGAAACGCGTGCTTCTGTGGTGTTTTACGATAGGAGTGATATCAAAAGAAAACAATGACGACATTCTTTACAAGCATGTTAGACCATACCTCAAAGGAGAACACCTCGAGTGAATGGAAAAGAACTCGGAACAAGAACTAAAGCATGACCCCCAATGTATGTTCAGGTGTAGAACACAGAGTAGCCTGCCCTAAAAAACATTAAACAATATCTCTAATTCATTGACCCAGCCTCTAGATCCCAGCTGGCAAAGAATCATTTCCTACTGCCCAATACATTATTGTGATGAAAAAACAGTGGTGTTTGGAGGACAGGCTTAAGAGCAAGGCCCTGTAGTCTGGCCCTGTGTACACAGTCTAACTGGCCAAGCAAGCTGGAATTCCCATCAAAGCCTCTTGGATATTTCTGGCATATGAAAGGCCTACTTGCTGCAGGCTCTATGCAATTGCCCTCAGGGTTCGTCAACCTCATCTGTTAGCATGTGCTTGATAAGACCACTTAGAAAATGCCCTGGGATGCTGCTGGAACTTGAGACTTATTGCGCATAGGTACTTCAGTGTGGCGAGCTCAAGTACTAATCCAAGCGAAGGCTTTGGGACCTATCTTGCAGTCCGGAATATGTATGCTTCGATTGAAATGGCATCAATTTCTGCACGAGTTAAGTGATTAAACACGAAGTAGGCTTAACTTATGGGTCAACTGCAAGGCATTCTGCATGGTCCATCCGGTTCTGGCAGATAAACTACTATTCCGAGCAAAGCTTTTAGGGCGTTCTTTTCACTTTTAAGGCTTTTAAACACTGTGTTTGATAATGATGGATCGGACTGGTATTAGAGAAAAGTCTTGGGGCACTTTTCAACAGTGTGCATTCGATTATGGCTTCGCAGATTGGAATTTTGAGCAAAAGCTTGGGGGCACTGCTTGCACTTAAATGGCTTTTCACCAGTGTGCGTTCGATTATGGCTTTGCAGATTAGAATTTTGAGCAAAGGCTTGGGGGCACTGCTTGCACTTAAATGGTTTTTCACCAGTGTGCATTCGATTATGGCTTTGCAGATGGGAATGTCGAGCAAAAGCTTGGGGGCACAGCTTGCACTTGAATGGCTTTTCACCAGTGTGTGTTAGATTATGCTTTCTCAGATAGGAATTTTGAGCAAAGACTTTGGGGCACTGCTTGCACTTAAATGGCTTTTCACCGGTGTGTATTCGATTATGAGATCGCAGATGGGAATCTTGTGTAAAGGCTCGGGGGCACTGGTCGCACTTAAATGGCTTTTCACCAGTGTGCACTCGATTATGCCTTATCAGATAGGAATTCTGAGCAAAGGCTTTGGGGCACTTCTTGCACTTAAATGGCTTTTCGCCAGTGTGCATTCGATTATGGTTTCTCAGATGGGAATCTTGAACAAAGGCTTGGGAGCACTGCTTGCACTTAAATGGCCTTTTGCCAGTGTGTGTTTGATTATGGCTTTGCAGATGGGACTCTCTCACAAAAGTTTTGGGGCATTGCTTGCACTTAAATGGCTTTTCACTAGAGTGTGTTTGATAATGGCGTCTCAGACTAGTATTCTCAGCAAAGGTTTGGGGGCAAAGCTTGCACTTAAATGCCTTTTCACCTGTGTGTGTTTGACTGTGGTAGATCAGACTGTTACTTTGGGTAAAGGTTTCAGGACACAGCTTACACTCATACAACTTATCACGCTTGTGCTTCTGAGTGTGTCTTTGGTTGTGGCGGGTCAGAAGGTAATTTTGAGCAAAGGCTTTGGGGCATTGCATGCACTTAAATGGTTTTTCACCAGTGTGTGCTCGATTATGAGAGGTTAGAAGGAAATTATGAGCAAACTCTTTGAGGCAAATTTTGCACTTAAATGGCTTTTCACCTGTGTGCACTTGATTATGGCGGGTAAGAAGGAAATTTTGAGCAAAGGCTTTGGGGCACTGCTTGCACTTGAATGGCTTCTCACCAGTGTGCAAATGACTATGGCTTTGTAGATGGGAATTTTGAGCAAAGGATTTGGGGCACTGCTTGCACTTAAATGGCTTTTCTCCTGTATGTGTCCGATTATGGCGTCGCAGGAGGGAATTTTCAGCAAAGGCTTTGGGGCACTGCTTGCACTTAAATGGCCTTTTGCCAGTGTGTGTTTGATTATGGCTTCGCAGATGGGACTCTCTCACAAAAGTTTTGGGGCATTGCTTGCACTCAAATGGCTTTTCACCAGAGTGTGTTTGGTAATGGCGTCTCAGACTAGTATTCTCAGCAAAGGTTTGGGGGCAAAGCTTGCACTTAAATGCCTTTTCACCTGTGTGTGTTTGACTGTGGTAGATCAGACTGTTACTTTGGGTGAAGGTTTCAGGACACAGCTTACACTCATACAACTTATCACTCTTGTGCTTCTGAGTGTGTCTTTGGTTGTGGCGGGTCAGAAGGTAATTTTGAGCAAAGGCTTTGGGGCATTGCATGCACTTAAATGGCTTTTCACCGGTGTGTGCTCGATTATGAGAGGTTAGAAGGAAATTATGAGCAAACTCTTTGAGGCAAATCTTGCACTTAAATGGCTTTTCACCTGTGTGCATTTGATTATGGCGGGTCAGAAGGAAATTTTGAGCAAAGGCTTTGGGGCACTGCTTGCACTTGAATGGCTTCTCACCAGTGTGCAAATGACTATGGCTTTGTAGATGGGAATTTTGAGCAAAGGATTTGGGGCACTGCTTGCACTTAAATGGCTTTTCTCCTGTATGTGTCCGATTATGGCGTCGCAGGAGGGAATTTTCAGCAAAGGCTTTGGGGCACTGCTTGCACTTGAATGGGTGTTCACCAGTGTGAATTCGTTTATGAATTCTCAGAGACGAATAATCAGCAAAGGCTTGGGGGCACTGCTTGCACTTTAATGGCTTCTCACCAGTGTGCACTCGATTATGAATTTGCAGATAAGAATTTTGAGCAAAGGCTTGGGGGCACTGCTTGCACTTAAATGGCTTTTCACCACTGTGTGTTCGATTATGACAGGTCAGAAGGGAATTATAAGCAAACTCTTGGGGACAAAGCTTGCACTTAAATGGCTTATCACTCTTGTGCTTTTGAGTGTTGCCAAGCAGTTGGGACTTCGAGCCAGACATAAAAGGATTCTGGCACTTGGATTGTTTATCACCATGGGCAGCCAGGTGGCGCACAATTCCACGCTGATCTCTGGTGACATAGGTGCAGGAACAGCACCCAAACGAAATGTCCTCAGTGAATTTCAGTGGGCAGCTGGTCTCCCCCAACAATGTGGCTCCATCACCTAGAAAAGACCATCTGTATTACGATACACAAAGAAAGCCCTACCAAGATAGTTACTCAAGATCGCCAATTCGGTTTACGGAAGCACTCAAATGCAACTGGCACCATTAAAGGAGCTGTGCAACAGTTTCCATACTTTGCTTAAATAATTTAGGAGTTGGTGTCTCAACCTTTTTGAAGTAAAGAACAAAAAAACACTTTTGCCTGCATGTTCTAGTTTTTCAAATGGACAAACATTGAAGTTTTCGGTGCCTCTCAACTCTTTTACCATCTTCCGAGTCACGTGCGCTGTAATGTCAATGGGGGTGGCGCGGGGTTCCGGTTCATGCGCAGTGGCGACACTATTCTTTGCATATGCAAAGAATAGCGTCGTCGCCGCTGCGCATGCGCCAAACACTAACCACATTTTGCGCTTTGTGTGCGCTATTTTAGCGCACGCTATTTCTCGGAAATCGCGTGCATATGCAAAGGGTTTTTGCGCTCCTCCAAGGAGGATTCGTGATGAGAAGTTGGTTAAAGCCAAGACGAGCACAGTTAAAAAAATGGCGGCCCCAGGACTATGGCTGCGGGCACTTTGGTGGCGTCGTGAGCGCGACGTCGGAGGCATCCTTGCGACTGCGATTTTCGATACAGTACGACATTGCACTCGGTTTGAAAAACCCAGTAAGGTGGGCAACGTTCACAGGCAACTTGATGCGTGCAACGAGTGGACGTTTATCGGCGAAGGTCAGTACACTCGTGTTGAGGCGACAAACGCAGACACCACCAATCGACCGCTCGCGTTGCATTCTCACGTTTAAACAAATGTAAACTGTTACTCTGAACCAAAAGTCTTGTTTTCTCTCAAGTTAGAGCATTTCGTCTGTGAAATAAAATCGTGAGTGACTGTATCTTGGGGGCGTTGCAAGCGCGAGATGCTTGGGCTTTTGTGTCGCAGTGGAGAAACGCTATTCTAAAGCTCTCTTGCATCGCACGTGCTAACGCAAGCGCTAAATTTCGCGCTAGTGTGCACTAAAATTGCATATGTTATTCTAAAACTCCCTGTTATAAACATGGCCAAGGTGACGCTTGGTACGCGAAATTTAGTAGTGCAAGGGCCGAAGTAAAGATTCTTTATCAGCGAGATAAAGGAAACTTTAGGAATAAGACTGAGAACGAACTGCTGAAAAATCCTAACAATATTTGGAAGTACAAAAATAAGTTATTGGGCACAGAAGCCAAGTCTGTTACGTTGTCAAATGATTCCGGTTTTCATTCTGATCCCCATGTTGTCGGCGAAGTGTTTTCGTCATACTTCTCAAGTGTATGCTTGTGTGATATGCAATCTGCGAGCTCAGAGCCACGAGTGCTTGCCATATTTACCCGAACATAGGTTGACCCCATTTATTGAACCCACCGAGAATAAATAAAAATTAATTGAAATCGAGGTCGACCTTTTTTTTTTAGGAACAGGGGAAAGTCGGGGCAAAAGAAAGAAACAAACCTTAGTTCACAGCACTCTCGGCTAAATCGCAGGGCGATGCCAAAAACTTAATCGTCGTCAGAACTTCCGGACATGTCATCGTTGTCCGAAGCTTCGTCAGCTTGGTAGACATTCTCGCAAATTGGCGACAATATCTCACTGACACCGTCCGTTGAAAAATGACGACGAGAAGAAACGAAAGGTGGAGTTGGGCGAAGCTACGGAAGACCAAATACAAATACGCGAGCAACACCGGAGTCGCCGTGAGCAACACGCAAGCCACCGCAAGCAACAAGCTAAAGTAACCACCATTGTCTCCTTTTTTTTTGTGTGTGTACATTTGAATGGAGGGCAAGGTGGATGGCACATCACGTTCTTCCCCTTCCCCTTGCCCAGCGAGGGGAAAGCTACAGGCGCGATGGCGCAACACCTCCTAGAAATAAGGCCGTAGCGCTCCGAGTGGGTACGTCACAATGTTGGAGGAAGGAAGGCCATGGCGCAACTACGTGAGAAAATTTCAGCTGTCGACGCATATCAACGTGAAAAAAAGTTTCTTCTCGAGCGGCGCGGTAATGTTCATGCGCGTTTATCCGACATTAATACACATTTTAAAAGCGCAGTCTTGTACAATTTATTATATATATAATATAAACATAATATACGTCACCAAGGTTAAAAGTATCAAATTTATATTTATGATTATCCCCATAACCGCGGGACTATGCGCAATCCCGCAGCTTCCCACTCTTTGAATGAACCGGCTCTGAATTTGCGATGCGACATCTTCCCTCGTACGGGCTCAGATTCTGGTAAACTTACGTTGTGTGTGAGCTGCTGACTGTCTGCAAAAGAATGCTGAGACATTTCAGAAGAGAAAAGAACCGAACAAAAATCCAATCATCGCCGCAGGGAGCGCACACGAGCAAGAGATGGGTCGACAATGTTAAGCCTCTCATCCCATACTGCTGGTGCTGCTCTCGTGTGTGTGTGTGTTTGCGTGTGTGGTTCTTTTGATCCTCCTACCCGTCATTTTTTTGTTGTCACTGTAGTCTCGGGTAGTTTTTTTTTTGTGTTCGCTTGATACTACGGCATTTACGTAGATTTACGAAACACGTCCTGCCACGGTTTGAGTGACGTGTGTGGCAACTAGTGAACGATGACACTGGCTGATGGCCTCTCTCTCAACAGAGGCTTCTGGAAGTTTGTGTTCAAATGTTTTCGTGATGGGTCGTGTGGGACATATGGATACGATAGACAGGTGAGAAACAACTTATTTACTCTTGGTCATGTAAGACGCAAGTGCTGTGGTTGATTTTTTTTATTTCTAAATCTCGTGATAGAATGGAATTTTGTTCTTCGTCATTATCCGTTTGCTATTGCGTCGGCATTTATAAATATGCCGATGTGTGGTAATGTAGTTTTTACTGGAAGGTAAATAACAAGTTTGTGTGATTGTTGAAAGTGCATTGTTTGTGCGTATGTGTTTATTTATACTAATGTTATTTTGTTGCCTTTACCGCATTTATACTAGAATCTTAAGTGTATTAAGGTAATAGTATTACTGTATACAAAATAGATTATATTTTGTTCTTAGGCAGCTCGAGCCCATAGGAAGAAGTAAATTAGTTGACTGTAAATAGTAAGTTTAGTACCCCTGCCACACGGAAAAGTTAATTTTGTTTAAAGTACAAAATATGCATTCCTACAGCAATAGTTGCGTGACTCAATATTTTCTACTTAAAACAATCACATTTTTCTATAGACGTCTTCTACGCATATCTTGTGCCATTTCGCATTGATCATTTAGCGGTGTAATGTTTTGCCCGCGTAATAAAGTGTTTCTGAGACCCGTTGCAAAGTGCAGCTTTCATTTTAGCTAATAAGACACGCATGTCTGACGAGAAGCGCGTTATGGCGGTCGATCCAAGCGCGTTGCCTTCGCTTCGATGCGCGCCCCCGATGGCCTTCCTTTGCGACGTCACAAGAAGAGCGCTACGGCCTTATTTCTAGGAGGTGGTGTTGGATGGCGAAACCAGACGCCCGAGGGATGTGCGCGAGCGGCGGTTTCGCGGTTCCGGCGGCGGGGGGCTGTCGGTTGCTGCTGTTGCGGTGGTTTTCTAGCACCAAAAGCTTTTTGAAACAAGAGGCGACACGGCTCTACGGCAACGCCGGCTCGGTGATTTGATAGCTCCATGCCCTCGGTAGGGTCGCAAAATTTGGTCGCGAATGTAGGTCGATCACGATTATATGTCGACCCTTAATTTTTGACAACATTTTCGAAAAAAAAAAAGGTTGCCTTATATTTGAATAAATACGGTAATCACATTGTTGCGAAAACTGATAGTGTTTTTGCCCCATTTAGCGTCGGTCACTCTGCAGTGCACGATTGTATTAGACGTTTGAAACCTAAACTTTCATTGGATTTCGATAGCGTACCAGCGTTTATTGCTAAAGGTTGCTCTGATGCATTTGTGCCGGTCTTGACCTACCTTTTTAACTTGTTTATTCAAAAATTTTCCCAGAAAAGTGGAGGTCAGCCATTGTGGTGCCTATTTTCAAATCAGGGGACTCTGCAGATGTTAGAAATTATAAACCCGTTTCCTTAATAACCATATTCTCGAAACTGTTTGAAATTGTAATAGAAGTGCACCTTTCTAGCTATTTCAAAGAAATACTAAATGAATCTCAACACTGTTTTGTTAAATCTAAAAGTGTTGAAACTAGCTTAGCTGAGTATTTGAGTCACGTTGGCCCCACTGTTTCCAGCCAAGGGCAGGTCGACGTTATTTATTTTGACTTGAGTAAAGCCTTTGACATTGTGCACCATGAACTATTAGTGCACAAGTTATCGGAATATGGAGTTGTTGGCCGTTATGTTTGTGGTTTCAGTCATATCTGTCCGAGCACATTAACAATGTTTGTGTTAATGGTGTGTTTTCGAGATCATACATATCATCATCCGGGGTTCCTCAGGGTTCTATTCTAGCACCCTTGCTGTTCAATATTTTTGCCAACGACGTCTCTCTGTGTAAAACAGTCAAATCTGCTGCAGTTCGCTGATGATACTAAGATCTTCAAACAGATCAAATCAAATATTTATTGTGTTCTCCTACAGGAGGTTATTACTGCTATTTCATCATGGTGCCTTCAAAATAAATTATGTCTAAGCCCCCAAAAAATGTGTTATCTCCTTATCGAGGAAGAAGTGTGTGCCTGATATTTTGTATAAGTTGGACAATCAACCATTGCGACGTAAATATTGCATACGTGACTTAGGAGTGTATATTGATTCATCCCTTCGTTTTGATTTGCTTGTGACTTTTACGTTTGTTTTCACATATTACCCGTCATTTCAAAAAGCCGTCCTGTCTCGTCAGGCTTTACACATCGATTGCGTGCTCAAAACTGGAGTTTGGCTCTAGTTTGGAACTGTCTGGGTGTGACCAACTCTGATGGCCTAGAACGTGCGCAGAGAAAGTTGGCACGCATTGTTTACGACCGTTATTTTTTTTTTTTTTTACTACGAGTCAATGTTGGAT